TGTATTTTATAGGATCCATTTTGTCTAGATTTATGCCAGCCAGACACAGCCCCTACACCAAAAAAAAGGAAAGCACTCGAAGACGCCATGGACTCGGAAGATAGTTTGCCTGTCAGATCCATCGACAATAACACCAAAATGTTGGCAAAAGCAACAACTAGCAGAAGCTGGGCTTGGTGAAAATAACATAACAGTACATAACAGTATAAATCCGGATGAATTCCAGGAAGTACTATATGCTAACTTTCCCCAGCTGAGGGATGCTGGGGGTTTTGAGATAATAATATGCTTTGGGAGTGGAAGAAAGCTTACCCCAATTAGGGGGCATATTCACCCCTGAATATAAAAGAAAAATCAGGTCAATGTAGAGTCTATATACGACCAATTCAACATGCACTAAACATGGATTCAGAAAGGGTAAAGAGGCATAATATGATCAGTTATCAATCAATCAATCGTCAAGTATCCATTAAATAATATTCAAAGGCGCTCGAGTTTTGTGTGAATTTGAAACACATCCTTAAGAAAGTTCTAATAGATAAAATATAAATGACAGTTTATAAATGATTATTAATACATCATTTTTAGTTGTTTACTCTTTTAGGAAACTGATGAGGACTCTGGATTGACACAGAAGTGTCCTAAATGCCAAAATAACATTTCATTCTGTGTTTTAAAGAAACATTTGGCAAGCTGTGCAAGTAGCAGGTAAAAATGAAATATATTTTCTATTTTGTATTTTTGACATTTATAAATGACATGAATGAATGAAATCAATATGATTGATATAAATATTCATACTTCAATCTATACATAATTATTTGTTAATATTGAGTCTCTACAGAGCCCTGAAAGGGACTTGGTTTAAAAAAAAATATATATAAAGTATTATTTTGTGAAAATCTCCCCAAATAATATTTCCTTCCCAGAAAATATATTTGAATTCATATTAAATAAAGTCTCAGTATTGCATTGTTATTGTAAGAACAGATTCTGATTTCCTAGTGCTCGGATTTAACCCAAACCAACAATAAAAATCCATGTCCTTTCTAACATTAGGCCTAATACAATAGATTTGTTTGATTTGGCTTGTGTAAAGAAAAAAGTAGTATCTTTAATAATAAAGCGTTATTTTAAAATTGTTTATTAAATATTTTTACTGATCACTTCTATTTTATTAGACCTAGTCCTCCATCAACAGTATCCATACCACCTGAAGAACAGGTAAAACGAGCATTTTTGCTGTCACTGACTATATCTTTGTATAAATTATGTAATAATGATCACAACTGTTCGCAGCTGACTCGATTTTTAACTTAATTTAAATTAATTTAGAAAAAATAATTCTCCATTTTCGAAAAAAAAAAAATTGTCATCCAATGTTTCTGGAACAAGGTTAAACACACTTTACTGTATAGGTAAAAGTTTTTTCCCACATGAACTGTCATTTTTTTCTGTGTTTTTTTTTTTCAGGTTGAAGAAAGTGATACATTGAATGATCCAGACCTCACTCATAGTCATACTCCTAATGACGTTCATGTAAGTATAATGTATCTGAAGAATGTACTTAATTCTAAAAGAAATATTTGTAATAATAAAGCAAAGTCTTATTGCATTTGCAGCTATTCACCTTCTCTTGAGAAACCTTCCAGTAGTACATTGTAAATTAGGTAGTAGTTCACAATTCACATAGACGTACTACACACTGTAATAATATGGAATCTTCCCCCCACTCCCACCATGGCAAGGTGGTGAAGCATTCACCCTGAAAGCAAAGGTCCCAGCTTTAATACCTCGAGATAATAATCAACTTATTTTATATTAAGGAATTGTTTTTACCATATTACAAAATGGTATCGACCAGTTAGGCATTAATGTGATACAGGTTTGGACTGTTCCATTATAAAATAGGGTTGTTATTTTTTGTTTATGGTAAATTGAATTTCTTAAATTTAATTACCAGTATTATTTATTAGATGCTGTGATTCGTATTTTATGTTATAAAAGTTTTATATTTCCTTATATTTTTAATTGTATTCAACATTTTAATATTTTATTTACATTAATTTCTTTTATATTAACACCATCTATCTTTCCCATCAGGAAGGCGGATCAAGAAATTCAGACATCTACCTGACCGTTTTTGAGCTGAACCGCACTACACTTACCCACCAAGCAGTATGTGACATTTGTGTGCAGCTGACAGGGAAGAATATAATATATTGTAAATAAAGTAATATAATGTAAATAATTAAATAAATGA